AGTTACAACAAAGTGAAAATGACACTTTTCGATAGAGCTTTTCTAGACATATAGAAAGTGGTGATATAGTGACAGTAGATTAAAGTGGGACAGTGGTAAACAGCATTTGTGATGTGTTGATGAATATTCTTCCTCAGTGCATGTTCCTGAAGACAGCTGCTCTTCTACAGCCTGGTATCTGAAATCTGTATTCAAAAAAAGAAAACACTGTAAAACAGGAATAATATTTACTGAAGCATCATATCTGCTTTGACTACATAAGATTACTCATGAATGTTCTCCAACAACTATTCTTTATGGGGTTCAGTGGTTTTGATTCTGCGTTTATCGCAATCTGATCTGTGAAATGTATTGACTTGGTAGAAAGTGTATAACTCCGCTGTAATGCCACAACAGAAACTATCGTTATGTATTTTAATGTTATATGAAACTGTAATGACACCAAACTAACCCCGACAAGCCAGAACCAAATCATTTACACCCTAACCCTCACAACATTATTAAGTTAATTATAAATAGTGCTTCATAGTTTCTTCTCTGTTATAGTTGAGGGAATAACCGGACTACTTGATAGAAAAGGATGTAAATTCCATGAAAATACTTTTTTGTTTACCACCCAGCCTTTACTTCTGCCCTCCTTGTGTTTTTCAAGCACGTGCAGCATGGCGTCACGAAGGGTCGGGAAGAACATGGAGGTGAGAATCTCATCATCGAAGAACATGCACACGTGCAGTTTCTCCAGGAAGTGCACTGTCGACACAAGTGAGAGGTCAGTAAAAGGACTTGATGGGGGTTCAGTGTCGGGGAACTTCAACGTGTGGATATGATGCATCAGGGTTCCGCTACCGACAGAGGTGGATTATGGGTATGTACAGGCAATATTCACCTCATGCTGTTGGTGTCCTTTATCATTTAAGAGGAAGTGCTTTTTAATGCACTTAAATAAACTCACCGTCACATGACACGATGTAAACATCCACATTGATTCGGATGAACTCTGATAGCCTGCAGGTGATAACAGCGATAAACAGGAGGTTGTAAAAACATAGGTTCCACAGTACCAATACAAACACTATCATTCATTATTTTATTATGTATGTATTATCAATAAAATTTTATTTATTTGCCTGGTGCCAAATTACAACACACATTATCTCAAGGCGCTTTATATAGAAAGACACCCAATAGTTCCCACAACGAACAACAAGAGTTCTATTCGTCAGATATCTAACCCGGTTTACTGATCTGCTCTCTTTAGCAGAACTACAGCAAAGGAGAGTAAATGAGTACAGTTACTCACGTACTGTGAGTACTATGAGCTTCTTATACTTACTACTGTTAAGTTACTTTGTACTATCTACTCTTAATAGATCCAAAGAATTAAAATGATCAAATAAAAAGTCTCAGATCAGAAAAAGCAAATCAGAAAAAAGTTCAAAAGAGTAATACTTTGTGTTGTACATTTCTTTTCTATTTTTTTTTAAACGTATTCAATCACTGGACTATACTAACAAATGTAACTCTGTCCTATGTCTAAAATAAGTCAAAGCACCTCCATTTTATTTAAAATGTAAGATTAGTACATCTGCTATAAAAGGACCATTCTTTCTTTATGTATTTTATCTGATCATGATCAGAATTTTGAATGTAGGACTTTGACCTTAGGGTGGTGCTATTATAAACATGCTGCTGCTTCGTATCGAAAAGGTTTTTATTTTCAAGCAACAACAGAAAATTCATCCAATGTATATCCAATATATATGATTAGAGACATTTCTGTCATACCCACACAGCAACATAAAGACATATTTCAGGACTTATTAACCAGAGAGCAGCTACCACATTTTCAGTGTTTTTCCTCTTTACCACTTTGAGTCCTTTCAGGACAGAGATGTCCAGGAAGGAGACGGCGGAGAAGTCCAGGATCAGGCTGTGGAGGTCCACTCTGGGAACTCTAATGTTGGTGGGAAGCTTGGCATTCCAGTCCATCCGGAATGGAAGGCCCTTGAGGTCAGTGGGCTGATCCAACTCCTCCATGTTCGCCCAAGACTCATCAGTTGTTTTACAAAATAAATCCCCAAAACTTCTCTGTTAGACAAATATGTAAAGTAAGCCTTAAGGTCTTTGATGAAACAATTAATCAACAGTCATATTTTACTTTTCTTCAGCATGCTTGAGTTTTAAGCCTCACCTCTGTACTGTGATTATCATTTTCCTGCAACAGTTTCTTGATTTTCCTGAGCGCCCTGTTCCTCTTCCTCAGAACTCTCAAGGGATTGAATCAGCCAGTACAGAACAGTAGAGTGGAAGGCATATGGAATTCTCAGAAATCCTGACCAAAACAGAGCAAGACGAATTGTACCTACAGCTTCTATGAGCTTTACCCTGAAGAACTCTATATTGGCAAAGAAGACAGGAGAGGGTATCCTGAAGATTCTTACTCCCTTTGGTTCAAATATCTGAGAAGGAAAGCATTATGATTTTAATTCAGTTGACAATAATGGCATTCAATTAAAATAATAATTTTTATACATGGTAAGAAAAGTACAATAGGTGTAACTTACATGCAGGTAGTATTTGCGAACCCTGTAGAGGTCAGTGCCAGAGATGTTTGCCAAGACAGAACAGCGGGGACGAGAGACATGAAGACATTAATATTGTTCTGTGTGGGTCACGATGTGGAATCCATGAAGACACAGTAACTTAAAAAAATGTGCGGATTATTATTAAAGCTGAATTGTTAACTTGAATTAAAGTGACTACATACTACATAGGTCTTTTTGTCAACTACAATAAATTCATGCTTTTGCCATTATTTCTGTCAGATGCCATGAAATGTGTGTTTACAACTGAGGCCTGAAGACAACAGTGATCAGCTCCACCTCCAGACCAAGATCCAGCCTGAGCAGGATGACCCCCCAGGCACGTCCCCACCCACACCCCCTGCAGTCAAACACCAAAACAGAGCAGACTATATGGAAAAGTAACACTTTATAAATATATGTACATTTTGGAATTTAACTCTTAGACATTTTGTGAATGCCTACACATTCTTGTGTGTCCCTAACAATCAGTGCGACAGGAAAAAAAAAGGGCATATCCACAAAATTTGACATCATCATAACCAAAATTATGAGTCTTATTCTTATCGTCGCATTGTATCAGTAACCAATTAAAACATTTCCTTGATAGACAGTGATTTTATATATAATTCACCCGGTTGCCGTCTTTGGTGTAATCGTGTTTGATAGAGTAGACTTTGGCCACCGAGAAGGCAACAGCAAATCCAACTATGGCAATAGGGAAGGCCTCCACAGCACTTTCCTGGAAGACCTCTACACTGGAAGCAATCGGAGGCTCATACCTGAAAGATAATTGTGCATATAAATGATCTGGATTATCTGATGGAAGAGCACAAGGTGTCCTACATTCCACAAGCTATGACTGTCTGTGTGAATAGAAAAGACACCTGAGAGTAGACACATTGACCACTGGCAGCTCTTGCTATTCATTCATTCATTCTGGGAAAAACTTGTAGAGAACTGGAACTTGCTTGAAATGAGTTTCTTTAGCACTTGGAATATTCAGAAGCTTGATTGAAACTCATATCATCAATACTTGGAGGTTTGCAATTTGATTTCACTTGTAATACTACAGTGAAACAAATCGTATCAGAGGTATGCTATGGTGAATCCAAAAAGGAAAGCCAGTAGTGGACATATGAAACTCTGGCTGTCTGATTAAGTTTGATTTACTCTCAGTGTAATAGCATGAACTGAAACCTAGTATTTGGGCCATACTGAAGAAAATAAATTGGAGATTTTGAGAATAATGTTATAATATTACGAGAATAAAGATAAAAAAACATTGCTTTAAGAAATAAGCAGCGAGGAGAGCCCATGCTCACTGGAGTTTAAGCCGTGGATCCAAAATCTTGTTGTATGAAACCTCTTTGAATAACATGCAGTTTGATACATTTCCACCTCTGACACAGATAGCTTGTCCGCAGTGCAAACAAGGCAAAGTCCTGATGTGGTGCTGATTGGAGACCTATACTAAAGTATACATTAACAAGATGCTCCACATTACTCATAAAATACACACACCCTAAAATGACCTCATCTTTATGGGCATCTACAAGACAGCTTCAAACAGAATGTCATTGTATTAAATGGTTTTATGTATCTTATTGCGACTTTATGCTCGTAATAATCTAACGTCAGTTTTAATATGTATACTGTAGTTTGGAAATTTATAGTATTTTAAAGTGTACTTGAAGGCTTTCCTCACCTCTATGGGGATAGGCACTGGGAGTTTGGCTTTGGATTTGTAAATTTCACCAAAATTAAATTAAATCAAATTACAAAACATCTCTAGGGTCTTTTAGACAAGTTGCGATCGTGGGATTGGTTCCAGCCTTGCAACACTTAAAACATTTCTTTTAGATATGTGACAAGTTAAAAAAACCTTTTTCATCAGTGTGTAGGCAGTTTTTCATGAATGCACGTGCCTGATGCAATCTTTGGAAAGCAGGGATTCAAGAGCACAAGAGTCCAGGGTGTATGACATTATATAGTGAGGGCTTAGAGAATTACTAGATACAAATCTGATAATTGATGAGTGACTTTAACGTTGGATATCAGTTTGACCTCAGGATCGGTCAACATGATTTGGTGTTGATATAGGAGGTGAAGGGAGACACCTGCTTTAATGCTATAGCCTCTTAAAGAATTATCACCAAATTCCCAGCATTACCACTGAGAGTGTTATTATTGGGATTTTGATTTGATTAATTCTTTTAAGAACTTGTAAATTATTAAATGTCATTAATTATGGAGATGGAATATGTCAGTGTTCCAAACACTTTCATTTTCTTTCTTTTTCAAGTAGCTTTTCCTCCCAAACAGAAAACATCACTTTGAGAACATTATGTCAAAAAAGATAATTTATTCTCATCATTATGAAAACATAACAATACAGAATGTAAATATATATTGCATCTAAAAATCCCAACAAAATCACTATTTACAATGTAAAAAAACAATAATATAGCATTAATTTGTTTCCTTTACATCACAGTAACTACCATATACTGGGTAAATGCTGATTGTCAGATAAATAAAGCTAAGAGCAGTAATTTATTATTTCACATCAGCGTATTGTACAGCATGATCTATAAAACAGACGCTAATTTTGTCTTTGGTCGTTTTGATGGAATTTTGTCATCTCCTCATCCAGATGTTAGAACCTGGTTTCTGGATCCAAAGCCTGTCAGGGAAAAAGGAGTTTTTCACTTTTGAAATATGTCAAGCTGTACACAATTATACATTTTATTTCAGTGCCTTTTTAGACACCCACATACAACTTACCAAATACCATAAAGTAGCACATGAATAATTAAAGTAAGATAACATTAGCATAACATTAAAAATCTAATCAGAAGATGTATTTAAAAAAAAAGATTCTAGTTTGTGTAAAAATCAAATGGCTTTGTCTAAGAATAATAAACCAATAAATGAAACAAGTGAAACAGTAATAATATGATATAATATAATGCAATATATAATATATATATATACTATAATATAATATAATATGATATAATAAGTTTTCCTAAAAAATAAATAATTAGGACACTTAGAAATGCCTGAATTAGAGACCCTATCAGATTCATTAACAATGTACACGTACGTTTCTATCTCTGCTCCTCAAACCGCCTCCAGGGTAGGAAACCGTGACTGTCGTCATAATCTGCAGGGCAACATGAAGAGCAATGTTTTCTTAACATGCTTACAGCATATACAAATATGGACTTTATTCAGATAGAAGCCTCTTTTCAGATGTGTGTTTCACTAAATCGTCCTGTCATCTTCACCTTGTCATAGTTGGACCTCTTCTCTTCGGACTCTGGATGTTTCTCGAGGATGTGCAGCATGGCGTCATGCAGGGTCAGGAAGAAAATTGATGGCTGAACTTCATCATCAAAAAAGCAGCAATGGTGCAGTTTCTCCAGGATGTAAGCTGCAGGTGAGGAAAACAAATTCAGTGATATATTCGACATCGGAGACAAACACAGAATGAAATAAAGATGCTCATGGCGGTTGTATTTAAAACATATATTCGGTGTGTATAATATGTGGCGCAATTGGGCAGAAAGGATTTGGTTTAGTACATTTTGTTGGAAAAACCACTGAGTCTTGTGATAGTGACTTGAATCAGATCTGTGTGGATTGAGTCTGGACTTGAAAGTGTGGGTTTCATACTTACGATCACAAGCCACAATGAAGACCTCAACTTCAACCCGGATCAGCTCTTTTAGCAACTGCAAAAAAAAAAAAACAGTGTAAGATTAAAGGAAAGCAGCCTCTCTGAAATAATCTTTGATGCTGGGACTTAGAAACTCACAGTTTTGAGCCCCTTCAGGGCAGAGATGTCCAGGAAGGAAACCGCAGCAAAGTCCAGGATGAGGCTGTGGATGTCCACTCTCGGAACAATTATGTTGGCTGGAAGCTTGGCGTTCCAGTTGATCCGGGCAGGAAGGTCCTTGAAGTCGGTCGGCTGGTCCAGCTCCTCCATGGTGCTCTTATCTTCTGATTCCTTGATCGTTCCACAAGAGCTATACAGTCCTTTCTGTAATGGCAGATATAATTAGACATATAAACAGCCACATGGTGGGTCCTCTAGAGAGCAAGTGTGCATCAATTTAAAACTAAACTTTCAGAATTCTCATCAAAAAATGTAGGAAATACTTTAGATAAACCGCATAGGAGACCTGAGATCTTCACCTATTTTCTTGCACAGATTTTTAATTTGCCCACAAATACCTGGATGTGAAATAGGGAAAAGAAAATCTAAAAATTGTAGAAAAGACTGGAGTGTGAAAGATCGTTGTATTTATAAAAGCAAAATTCAACAATGTGCATTGAAATCTGACTGCACATGGTGGTTTAGTGTTCGTCTCACTGAGGTGCCTGAAAATTGAACCACTGACCCTCTGGTTAATGGGCAGCCCACCTCTTAAGCCACAGCTGCCCATAGTGAAATAAATAGAAATGTGGAGCCTTTCTGAAGAATAAGCACAACCAACTCTTTATGCCATTGAACTAGCTCCTAATGTTTGCAGAACTGCAGGTATTTGCATATAGTATATTTAAAAACTCAAGTTTTGTACTGAATTTATTAGTTTTTATTAATTGTAATCTTGTGATACTGACAAGTCTTGTAGATGAGTGTAAATGTCCACTGCTGACTTGAATAGAGTTAACGGACAAAAACAGGAAACAATTACAATGACTGTTTAAAAATGGAGAAACTGAAACCTCAAGGGAAGGAGTTGCCAAAGAGAAATTGTCTCATGTCCTTCACACTAGACACGTTTAAATGGACACCAAAGCTTTCTGTATTAACCAGATTAGGACA